GGGTCATGGGGGTGTTTCAAGGGTGCCTCCTTGGCTACCTTCCTTACTGTGTCTGATGTCGCGCAGTCCGGGAGGTCGCACACCCGCCGGGTGATCTCAGGCAGGCAGGCAGCTGAAGAGACCCCCTCCGGGGTCTTTGGGTCCTTACTGGGTCTGATGTTGCACAGTCCAGGAGGTTGCGCACCTGCCGGATGATCTCAGGCAGGCAGGCAGCTGAAGAGACCCCTTCCGGGGTCTTTGGGTCCTTGCTGGGTCTGTTGTCACACAGTCTGGGAGGTCGTGCACCCGATGGGTGATCTCAGGCCTCTAATATCTTTTAATATACTGCTCTTATGTTGAATTCCTACAATCCTGAATATTACATGCCTTGGGGAAGATTTTTTTTTTTTTAGCATGGCTAATTGGAGTTCTATATGCCTCGTTATCTATATGTCAAATTCTTTTTCCATGCTTTGAAAGTTTTCTGCCATTACTTCTGTGAACAGATTTCTTTGTTATTTGAACTATCTCCTGTTCCTTCATTGACTTTGTGAATCTTATGTTATTCTTCTTTGCATCACATATAGCAGCTATTGGATTGATTTTTTTATGGTCCTTTGCAAATTTTTAAAGAAATCTTTCTTTTTGTGGTTGCTAACCACAATTCTGTTTTGTAGATCTGATATTCTATCTTTATATTGGTTCATTCTGCTGTGAATAATTTCAACAAACCCCCCCCCCCCCGGCTTTGGTACCAAGAATGGAACTCAGGACCTTGCATTTGCAAGGCAGGTACAGTGCCACTGAGATAAATCCCCATACCTCAATAGACTTTTTAATCTCATAGATATCTCATTGAATCTGTTTCATAGATTATATTTCTTTCCTATGTTGGGCATTCATGGCTTCTATTATTTTCCTAAGCTCCTCTAATTTTTTTATCTGTAGATTCACTAATCTTACCATTTATTATGGTCATCATCTCTGAAGTTATCTGATAAGTTACTTCTGATTTGATTTTTTTTCTAGAGGATCATTCATTTGCTTTATTACTTCTGTCGTTACCACTTCCACTGTTACCAGGCGGGTGGCTTTCAAATTGTTCCACTTCATTGTCCCCTAGATTTTCCTTCAGTGAGCTGGAAGTCTGGGGTTGCATCTTGCTTTGTATCTTCCCATTTTCTATCTTTTTCCAGTTTAATTTCTCCATTGGTGCTTGCAAATTGTTTATGGTAGGTATCTTTATTGCTAGTATTGAGAACTCTTAAGAGAACACTACTCAGAGATGTCTTCCAGATGTAGCTGGATTTTGGGTTTTGATTCTGTTGCAAGACCTTACCTCTTCAATTTATTGGGGATGAGAAGTTGTTGCCTATTTGCCCCAGCCCCTGGTTCTGTGGCAATGGCCTATAGTATTGTTTATGACCTCCAGGCAATCTCAGTCTTGGCATACAAGGAAGAACAACTGAACAACTATATCACCTTCCCTCAAGTAGTACAATCAGTAATAACAATAGCATCAAACACACCCTAGAAAATGACAAACTGTGGTAATTATTAATTTACCACCTTTAACCATATAAACACAATTTGTAGTTATATAAACAAATCTAAAACATACTAGGGCTGGGGATTTAGCTCAGTGGTTCTGCCACCTGCCTTGCAAGCACAAGGACCTGAGTTTAATCCCCAGTACACCCCCAAAAATAAAAAAATTATATGTATATAAA